AGCAAAAACGGTTGCAGTGGTGACAGGGGCCAACAGAGGGATAGGGTTCGAGATAGTGAGACAACTTGCAGGGCATGGAATCACCGTAATATTAACGTCTAGGGAAGCTAGTGCAGGAATTGAAGCCGCAAGTGTGTTGCAAGAGTTGGGCCTAAGCGTGACATTCCACCAACTCGATGTTTTGGACAAATCATCTATTGAAGAGTTTTGTGATTGGGTGAAAGAGCAATATGGTGGCATAGACATTCTGGTGTGTGTTATTAGTGATCTTGAATTGAAATTTCTTTTATCATTTTTATGCTCGATCGTTCCTTATATATTTCTTGTTTGTTGTTGGCGTATCCTTAAGGTCAACAATGCAGGTGTCAACTTCAATATTGGTTCTGAGAATTCAGTTGAATTCGCTCGGATGGTTGTTGATACAAATTATTATGCTACAAAAAATGTGACTAAGGCTATGATTCCACTTATCAGAGCGTCTGAAGCAGGTGGACGAATCGTTAACGTCAGCTCAAAACTCGGCAGAGTCAGTGGAAAAAGAAATGTAAGTCTAACCGAACTTATACGATAATACTATGATAAATTGAAGGGGGAAAAAAAAACAAATGTTAACTCTAGCTATTTATCTATTACTCTTCTCATTTGTTTTAACTCAATTGAAGACCATATGTTAGATGAGACAACTAAATGACATGTATATTGATTAACCAATCTTTAAAACATTGTTATTACTTCCTAGAGAATCGAAAACCAAGAGCTGAGAGAACAACTAAATGACATGGAAACATTGTCGGAGGAATTGATTGATGGAATGATGTGTAAGTTCTTAGAGCAAGTGGAAGATGGGAGCTGGGAATCTGGCGGGTGGCCTCACGCCAACACAGATTACTCCGTCTCGAAACTAGGGGTCAATTGCTACACTAGGCTACTGGCGAAGGAGATGGCTGATCGGCCCGACGGCGAGAAGATTTACGTGAATTGTTACTGCCCTGGGTGGGTTAAGACTGCGATGACAGGGTGGGCGGGTACGACATCGGCCGAGGACGGTGCAGACACTGGAGTCTGGTTGGCCCTCCTCCCCGATCAAGCTATTACTGGGAAATTCTTTGCTGAGAGACGTGAGATCGCCTTTTGATTTAACTAGTCTCATTTTTTTACTTATTATCGTTATTAAATTTTTGTGTTGCTTGTGGTATTTTTGAGTAAGACATTAGAAGGTGTGTACGACTTAGCTTTTGTGTTTTGGTTAATGACTTTCCTTTCAGGTCACGACTGAGGAAGAAGCAGTACTTTGTTGTTTTGGGAAATTTATTTTCGTCTTTTATATTTTTATAATTTTATTTTTTGGTTAATTTGATAATGATAAATAATAAAAATTAGGAAAATAATTTTAATTTGAATTTGTTTAATGATTTTTAGGCTGACAATGCAATGACATGGCGTGTTGACTAACGGTCAACACCAAACTAATAGTCAAACCATGTGTCGAGCCAATTGAGTCTATATGTTGCATAGTTGAGACCAGGATGTTAATTTCTGAAACCAAAAGCCAAATTTGATTATATGGTCATAGTTCAGGCAAAAATAAGGCATTAACTCTATTATATACTCTCAAGTTTGCGCAAAAATCATTTATAGTACTATTTTCTATTCAAATGCGGCTCAATACTCTACTAAATCGTGGATCCATCGCTGATAGGAAAACTAGTAAATTCATTTTTGCATGAAGGCAAACATTAATAGGACAGGTCCCAAAGTACATTGAGGGTTTACCTCATGAAGAGGAAGAGAAAAGACATACAAAGATGGGAAGAAATCATGAAGAAGGGTCTTCAAGTGCTGGAAATCCTACTACAAAGCTCTACTCCGCTTCTTCTTCTCCGCTTCTTCCCCAAGCTTCTACTTCTCTCTCTAACCTCACTCTAGAACAAGAAATCTGCCAAAAACCACTCTATTCAAGAGGGGAGTACCCTATTTATAGAGCTCAGGGTTGACGGGCAATTTCACGGCTGGATCAGGAGGAAAGAGGTCGCTAACGTTTGATATGTAATAGGATGTTTTAGACTTGAATTGGGAATGACGATGAAAGTATCTATCTATGCCTATTTGATTTTTGTTCATTCTTGCATCAATTAGTGTGGGATTGTCTGTATCCCATTTGCCCTAATTGCAACCTAGATTGTAGGGAATTTATCATTCTCCTTCTTGTGATTTATGGATGAATTGAGTTTACCTATAGTTTGTATGACTTTATCTATGCTAATTATGCTTTGAACCTTGTCTCTCTAATTATTTTCTTGACATCCTACTATTTAGGAGTGCATATTTGTAGGGATGGCAATGGGTCGGGTCGGGGATAGATAGTGCATATCCGTTACTCTACCCAAAGTAGTTCGGGTTTTACCCATACCCATACCCACATGTGAAATGGGTAGAAAATTAAAACCATACCCATACCCACTCGGGTTTCGGGTATCCACGGTTATCCATGGGTAATGATTTCTCTCCATAACTCTAACCAGTATGTTAACATTCACACGTATTCTCACATTACGTAAGAGGAAAAGTATGACAATAATTCACTAGAATGAAGAAAATTAATTAAACAACACAATTTTATGAAAATACTATATTTATATGCTAAATATAAAATATCTTAGAGAAAAATAATGATTATTTCTAGACAAAATACATATGTGTGTGAATAATCGGGCGGGTTTGGGTTGGATAGTGAGAAACTCATGCCCACCCATTATCCGCAATATTCGGGTTCGGGTTTTACCCATACCCACTAAATGTCCTTCGGATTCGGATTTTACCCTACCCGATTAGGCCGGGTTCGGGCGGATATCCATGGTTACGAATATTTTTGCCATCCCTACATATTTGGACTGGATTTGAGCGGATGGGTAGAACCCATTTAGAGAAGATAGGTTTTATTCCGACAACGTGAAGTTAGATGAGGTGACATTGGACTAGTGGGTTCGATTGCATGACCATTCAGCCGATTCCTAGATTATCAATCTCTACACCTCGATTACCATGGATCGTCCTTCCATTTTTTGCATGCCATCTCATGCGGTTAGGGCGAGGGAGGCACCCCAAGTACCTCTTCCCTCCTATCGTTCCCTAATTCATTAATTTCCAACTGTCCACCTGCTACCGCTATACTACTTCGTCGATCTAGGGTGCATGTGGGTAAATAAAAATATTTGAGTGGTAGCCTGTGTGATTTGAACTTGGGTCACTGTTACCACAAGTAACTTATTTTCCATTAGACTACAATTCATTTGTTCTTGTATTTTAAATCCAAATACAGTATTAAAAAACTATTCCTTATCCAATTCAAGATAGTCGTTGTTGGGGACATGAGAAATTAGGAAGATATACAGTTCGGTCAGGCTATGTGGAATGAAAGGCAAAACAAAGCCAATTCCAAAGGGGAGCCCTATGTTTCGCTGGATTGGAAGAGACTCTGGCATCTAAACCTACCTCCAAAAGTTAGGTTTTTCCTGTGGCGATGGGGAAGCAATATTCACCCGACAAAAGCAAATCTCAGCAAAAGGATCAAAGTAGCCTGGGACGAGTGCCCATTTTGCGGTTTGAAAGAGACATAAGAACACATTACAAGAGATTTAGATTGTGAAGGGAGAGTATGGCGCCCTAGTGAGATTAGGAACCTATTCAGACTAGGCGAGGGGCATGAACAGGGAAGAATGGTTATGTGAGTTGCTTGAGAAAGCATCTGACGAAGATCTATGCAAAATCATAATGACCCTATGGTATATCTGGAAAGAGCGCAACAACCACATGTTCAATAATCATCAGGAAACTGCCTATAAGATCCCCAATCTTTCTTGAGAAGGACTGCGAAATGATCATAAGGAAACTGGAGGGGGAGATGGGGAGCGACCTGGAAATTGATTTTCTGTGCGAGGAAATAAGAGGAAGGACAGAAGAAATGGAAAATGTGAAATGTGAAATGTAGGAAGGGGAACGTAGCGGGGCCCACAAGATGGCTCGGATGATGAGTCGATGGGAGGAGAGCGAGATCTGGTTCGACTGGCCTCCGGTTTTTACTGTTCCTATTCTGCTTAAAGATTGTAATGATCTTATGATATAAGTAACGAATATTCAGGTGAGTTATCAAAAAAATGTCATTGGTAGAATATATTGTGGTTTAATCGTAGTTCAATCCTTATCATTTTGATCCTGTGTAGGCATGACAATAAAACCCGAACCCACGGGTACCAACCCGACCCAATCCGGTCAACGCGGGTAAAATTCGTGTTGACGGGTTTTGGGTTTAAACCCGTTCACTATTCACCGGGTTGGGTTGTGTTTGGGTTTAGGTAAACCCGGCCCATGGGTACCGCCCACACCTATATAATTAATTTTCTCGACATATTTAATATTCTAAACAACTAATCTTATTTATGTTTGTGGAGACATGTCTAATTTTTTTCTTTCTAGTTGTGTAGAATGAAGTTGATGTTATCAAGTGGAGAGTGGAAAACTTAATTGAAAGGAAGAAGCTTTCAATTAATCATGCTATTTATGGATAATTTGTGATTTGCTTCAATTTTCTTGAGTTTTCTAGATTGGTGTTGTACGATTTTTATAGTTAATTTGTGATTTGCTTGAATGTTCTAGAATGGTGTTTTATATATGAATAATTTGTATTGAGAGATTGATATTTGATTTTAATTTTGATGAGAACTTGTTATTGTGAATTTTTTACGATAAAAACCCGTGGGTACCCAGGAACCCGCGGATACCCAGCGGGTTGGGTTGGGTTGAGTTTTTCAAACCCACTGGGTTTTACCCCGAGTTTTTTTCACGAATAAACCCATGAATTTGAGTTTGAATTTAGCAAAACCCGACCCATTGCGATCCCTAATCCTCTATTCGACATTTCCAATTCGACCCACTAGTACGGTATGTTTTGTCGAACATTGATTTTTGGGGGAAAATCCCACATAAGTACATAACCAAACCAAAGGTAACTACAGTCTACAAAGATCGCCGGCTCAGTCTGTCACACCATGGGGGAAAGAATAGTCTTGGCGAGTGTAATTCCTGGAAAAGAAGACGGATTACAGAGAAGAGCTGGGAAATAGGGATAAGAACAGAGAAGAAGGGGAAGAAAGTGGAGTCAGAACAGGAAGAACAGATGCAGAAGCTTGGGGAAGAAGAAGAATAGGTCGAGAGAGAGCAGAGAAGAAGAGTAGTAAAATGATTCTGTTATTTCCTATCTCTTCCATTACAACACAGACTTCCTTTTATAGGAGTCGCACAATTACAAAAAGACCCACCAACTAAACCCTTGTTACAACTAAACCCCTGTCGTTACAATCCCCACTCCTTAACAACAGCCTTGTCCTCAAGGCTGAGAATCATCTGAAAATCAAAACCAACTCAAGACATGATATAGCAAAGAAATTTATACTAAACAAAAGGAAATGAGATGCAGAATGGATTGGCATATAGGAATGCTCTTCAACCAACCAACATGCTCCATTTATCCCAGAGAGTGTCTAATAAGTTGCCAGCCATCTACAATACCACAACAACCAGCTCCAATGGCCTGCCATCTGCAATACAGACAACCACAAACACTGCCCTGACTTATGTTTCGATCTTTATAGGGCTCCCTGAAGTCAGGACACTTTCCCCTTCCGCGAGAAAATACACAAACTCCATAGTAAGTAGGGAAAACCCGATACCCATAACCCCAATAGCCATGCCTCGGTTTTCCCTTGCATCCCACTGATTCAGATGTAAGCTCATACCCCTTATATGAGAAGCATGCCTCCACACTGGCAGCCTTCAGGAAACTGCAGATTCCCCACTTACCCGGCTTAATTGCGTTCTCCAATGTCCAAACCAGCAACATCTGTGAATTGCGTGAGGTGATCGTGCTTGTTCTGAAATAGTACAGCAGCAGCCACAATTCCCTTGGTATAATAGCTGCTGCAGTAAACCCAAGCTGATTCAAGTCAGTAGCATCCATTGTCAGAACAACCTTATCCACCCCATTAGAACTCCCAAACCCGGAAGAAACAGACTCCAAACTATAATCATCAACCTGAACTAATCGTGGTTGCTGAAAAAATGCCCGATTCTTCACCACCATAAGTGGAACATTACTCACGACTGTATTCTCCACCATGGTGCAAGTCAAACCCAAGATAGGAATTTTCACAATGCAATCGTTTCCTGAAAGCATTACATTGGATTGATCAAGTGGTTGCCCATATAGGAACTCTGCTCTATGCTTCATGCCTTTGTGAGTCAGCCTGTCAAGGAAAGGAATTACAGTCCAACACAGCTCCTTAAATGGCTCTTTGAAATCAAAGCCAGTACCTCTCCCTTGAGGCTGAACCAAGACAAAACAGCCATCCAACCTGCCATCCTCATATACATATCCAGCCACTTCCATATGCTTGTTTGAAACACCTTGCAACTCCGAATAAAACAGCCCAGGTTCTTTTACAGTTGAGCCAGGTGTCACAATAGGAATATATTCTTTTTCAGCAAGTAAACCACCATTCCCATCAACCCTGTTAGGAGAAAGAAAGGATTCAACAGTCACAGCCCTTGTATCCCCATCCATTTCTAAGTAATCACCAAGATGAGATTGCTTCTTCCTTTTGCAAGTCTCGATGGCAACTTCCTCCAACCGAGCTTGCTGATAAGCTTCAGCTAATGTTTGGGGCTGCATCATGGACATGGCTAGCCGCAACTCCTGCTCCAATCCATTGATAAAGCTGCTAATGAAAAAAATCTCGTCCAAGGCTGGGTTGAATTGCGACATGAGGGACCTCAACTCCTCAAACTTCTCTTGATACTCAGTCAAAGAGCCTCGCTGCCTAAGTTTATTGAATGCAGCTACCACACCCCCATAAGTACGATTACCAAATCTCTGACACACAGCAACCACAAAATCCTCCCACAGTAATTCACGTTTGCCATAATTCCAACCTTTAAACCAGACAACAGCCCGTTGCTCAAAACCGAGCACAGCCAAATTTACCTTCTGGTCATTAGGGATTGCATAGGTCTCAAACAATTTGTCGCATTTGCTAATCCATTCTCGAGGAGATTCACCATCGAAAGAGGGAAATTCTAATCGGGGAAGAAAATGAGCATTACCTCGGGCTGGAGCAGCTTGAAAGGGCTCCCGCTCAGCGACTCGATGATTCTGTGGAAGAGGCAAAATGCCCTCAGCGCCAATCTGATCCTCCAGCGGCGCAACCGCGCCGACAGTTGCCTCCACCGGCCCAAGAGGAAGAATTCCGTGAAGCATATCGCGAATCTCCTGAGTGAATCGATCAAAGCGATTATCCAATCAAGTTAGGAAACTAGTCCAGCGTTCGTCGATTGTACCTCGAGTCGCCGCCATTGTGCCAAGACAGGGCTCTGATACCACCTTGTCACACCCTGGGGGAAAGAATAGTCTTGGCGAGTGTAATTCCTGAAAAAGAAGACGGATTACAGAGAAGAGCTGGGAAATAGGGATAAGAATAGAGAAGAAGGGGAAGAAAGTGGAGTCAGAACAGGAAGAACAGATGCAAAAGCTTGGGGAAGAAGAAGAATAGGTCGAGAGAGAGCAGAGAAGAAGAGTAGTAAAATGATTCTGTTATTTCCTATCTCTTTCATTACAACACAGACTTCCTTTTATAGGAGTCGCACAATTACAAAAAGACCCACCAACTAAACCCTTGTTACAACTAAACCCCTGTCGTTACACAGTCTTAGGCTTCCGGCGGCCCTTCTCTCTTCGCCTTTCGTTTGTCGCGTCTCCCTAAACGCCGCGGCGGCAACTAATCGGGCCTCGTTTCAGCCGTTCTGTCTCATCATTCATCAGCCATCGCCTCTCCCGTCTGCCGATTTCTGCTCCTGCGCTGCCGGCCCTGGCTAGCAAGTAGATGGGGAACAAAGAGCGCGCTAAAGAAAGACGTGAGAAGAGACGCCAAGAGATTTCTCTTCTCCGTACTATCCCGTACTCTGATCACCAAAGGTACCGTTTCTATCCTCCCCCGTTTCCCGTCCTCAACTGTTGAAATTTCCGTATTAGCTGGTTGATTTGTCCCGCTGAGCATCTGGTGGAAACACTTAACTGAGTCTGGTGTTTCGTTGAGCTATTCAACCAAAAATGTGTTTCAGTTGGACATATTGCTGTAGAGTTATGGGTTGTCTAAAACTTTGTAATTTGTGGTAGGGTTTCTTTAGGTGGTGGAACTCCGAAACTGTTGCTGTGGTTACTGGTTCCAACAGAGGTATAGGGTTTGAGATTGTGAAACAGATTGCAGGCCATGGAGTTACTGTCATACTGGCGTCGAGAAACCCTAGTGCTGGGATCGAAGCAGCTAAGAGCTTGCAGGAACTAGGCCTGAGTGTGGTGTTTCGCCAACTTGATGTCCTGGATACTTCATCCATCCAACATTTTGCTGAGTGGATAAAACAGAACTATGGTGGTATAGACATTCTGGTAAGCCATTCGACTCAGTTTACATGTGATCTTTATGATTCTGTATTGGTTATTGGAAGCAGTATGAACTTGCTCCTCATTGGTTCTGCGTCAATTTGTTGTTTGCCAGGTCAATAATGCTGGTGTTAACTTCAATCTTGGCTCTGAGAATTCTGCTGAATTTGCTCACCTGGTCGTAAATACCAATTACTATGGCACCAAAAATGTGATAGAAGTCATGATCCCTTTGATGAGACCTTCTCCACTTGGTGCTCGAATTGTTAATGTGAGCTCCAGGCTAGGCAGAGTGAATGGGAGGCGAAATGTGAGTAATCTAGGAAGCTTTGTTAACTCTGTCAAAAGTCGTGGCATCCTGTTACATTGATCAAGATGCATTGTAATGCTTATGTTTACAGAGGCTTGGAGATGTAGCCCTGAGAGAGCAGCTTAGTGACATTGGAACACTTTCGGAGGAGATCATTGACAGGACACTATCTACTTTCCTACGACAAGTTGAAGATGGGAGTTGGGCATCGAGCGGGTGGCCTCAGGTGTTCACAGATTATGCATTGTCGAAACTTGGAGTTAATTGTTACACCAGGTTGATGGCTAAGGTGCTTTCTGATCGTCCCGAAGGTGAGAAGATATACGTCAACTGTTTCTGTCCTGGCTGGGTGAAAACGGCCATGACTGGTTGGGCTGGGAATATAACGCCAGAAGAAGCTGCAGATACCGGTGTGTGGCTTTCGTTGCTTTCAGACGGTATGCCAACTGGGAAGTTCTTTGCAGAGAGACGCGAGATAAATTTTTGATGCAGATTTTACGGCATTCCAAACTTTTCATGTCGAATGTCGCTGCATTTGTCAGAATGAGAATGTTAGGAGTCAATGAAATGCACTGAACCCAAAACTTATGCATCCACAGATGTTCCAATGTTGTTTCCTTGGTTTCTCTTCAACTAAAACTTCTCCGCTACCATGTTTGATCGATGGTAACTTACTAACTTTAAAATCATTCTTGACTCTTTGATTTCCTGAAGTTAAAGTTTGAGACAGTAGGACTACGATTAGAGATGAGGGCTCAGCGCTGATGACTGCAGAAAACAAAACCGTACAAAAATAGTTAGTTCATGCTAGGGGTGCAAGCCTGATCCGCCCCAATCCAACCTTGAAAGTCAAGTTGGGCCAGTTTGTCTATAAGGTTGGTTTATGGTAGAATCACTTTTTGGTCCCGTAAGGATTAGATTAGATCGGATCAAGTTAGAGTAGGGTCCTTATTTGCCTTATTGACCCATAGAAATAACTACTAATTTGAAATTCCTTATATCAAAAGATTGGACTTTTCTAAAAAAAAAAAAAAAGATTGGACTTGGTTGTAAAGTTTTGAAAGTTTAGGTACTAAAATGTAATTTTGTCATCAAAATTTCAGGACCTATTTGTAAAAAATAAAGTTTAGGTATCAAATTATAATAAAAGATGAATTTGGTTGTCAAAATGTAATTTTCTAAATATCAGGCTGTTGATTTGGGCCCACTTGCGGACTTTGTCAAGACCGATCCAAGCGGGTCAGACATGATCAAGGGAACATAGGGTTAAGCCAAGTTTGTAACTTAACCCTATAGGGTATTTTAGGATAGTTTTAGGGCAAGAATTAGGTTTGGCCAGTTTCACCCCCTAACTATGTCAATGGAGGGTCAGAGTGCAAAAGTGGGGAAAATATTTGCCTCCAATGGGGGATCCAGAGCAAGAGAGCAAAAGTGTTAAAAGTTTGAGAAATTTGAAACAAAAAGTAACCTAGAAAAAGGGGGGAGCCAAAAGTTTGGACCCCACATGCAAACAGTAGACGTGCTACATGGAGAGACGATATTGCATGTGCGACAAAGGACGAACCCCTTTCCATGCTTGTCAACCACCACCGTCTCATGCAGATGGTTCACACACTTTTTTTTTTGTTTTTTTAACCAAAGATAGCTTGCATTACCAAGAGAAATAGATAAAACGTTTACAACTCCATATGGAGCCAAGCGCAAAAATCAAAACCTAGCACATCCCTAGTGGACAATACAAGAGCTTTTCTTGCAACCATATGGGCAACTCTGTTGTTTTGTCTCCCCACGAACTATACTTTCACACTCGGATACTCCTGCCGAAGAGTGTGGATCTCACGATAGAGGGCACCACCCTGAGCATTAGTCAGGCACCGCGCATAGACCCTATCAATAATCACCTTAGCATCCCCATGTATCCTCACCGAGCAGAGACCCTTAGCCACACACCAATGGAACGCCTCCCGAAGAGAGATTAGCTCGACCACATCCGGTTCAAAAACCCCTCCCAAACGCCCAGCTTTAACCATCACTGTCGCACCTGACTCATCCTGAATGGCTAAGCCAAAAGCCGCATGAGACTCCTGACACAAGGCCCCCTCAAAAGTACAAACAAAACCCGTACCCGAAACCATAAATGGATCCACTAAGGGACCCCTATGACCGACTGGCCCTCTAGGAACACCCTGCGGGACGGCCCCACACCATTCGAGAATCCGGTGGTGCATCTGCCGTTGAAGTACAAGTAAATTAACTTGTTTAAAGTCGAACACCCCCCAATTTTGAGCCTTCCAAATTTGCCATAATACTGCCACAAGCTTGGTACTCTCCACAGGCGAAGAGATACGCTCCAGAACCCGACGCAAGAAAATGACTAAATTTGAAGTATCCACCCCGATTATCAGATCCTGAAGACCCACCGCTCCCCATAACGATTGGGCCACCGTATAATGAAGGAAGTGGTGCTCCATCGTTTCCAACTCCGCCCAACACATAGGGCAACGACCCAGCACCTCCACCTCTTTTTCCAGCAAAGCCTCCGTCGTTGGCAAAATACGACTTAAGATTTGGCATAGGAAAAACCGTAGTTTAGGCTGGATCACCAGGTCCTATATAACCTTCCAGAATTTGCGATCCATCCAACTAGCCTCTTTTTCCAACTGCCGACGATACCACTCTGGTCAAATGCCAAGTGGTACCCAGACTTCACTGTGTATACCCCAGACAGGTCATACTGCCAAACCATCCTATCCGCAATTGCCAGACGAGGACAAGGAATAGCTGCAATGACCTTCACCCATTATGAAGGGAAACAACCACGTAGGCACTCTTGACACTAAGAACTTTCCGCGGATTAATGAACGTGGAAACTTTCTCTGTCCCATCAATAGGCGCCGATGGAAGGAAAGGAATGACATCCTGACCCACCATTGGAATCAAACCACCAGACCAAACGCCAATTCGCTCCCCGTCGCCAACTTGGCATCGAAGCCCCTTCTTCAAGAGATCAAACCCGTGCAAGACATTTTGCCAACCCCAAGAGGGCCGTGAACCCGGACGTGCCTCCAACACCGAAGTTCGGGGAAAATCCATTCCTTTATAAACCCGTGCTAGTTACGATTCCGGGTCCTCCAATATTCGCAATCCAACCTTAGGAAGCAGTGCCTGATTGAATTCCTCAAAGCGCCAAAATCCCAGACCCCCCCTCATGCTTACTGCGGCAAAGCTTTCGCCATGACATCCAATGAAGTCTAGGCAAACCATCACCCGCCCCCACCAGAACCTAGCCATCATCTTATCAAGTCGTCGACAAAGAGTCTTTGGGGAGTTTAAAACATGACATCACATGGATAGCCAAAGCTGCAACCACCGATTTGAGTAAGCTTTCCTTTGCCGCCATGACAAGTGACGTAATTTCCAACCTTGCAACCTAGCAAGTATAAGCCTACTCGAGGAAACTAAAAGTAGCAGTGTTAGACCGGGAAATCAAAGTTGGGAGACCCAAATACTTATCCTGGACCCAACAGCCCCGACCCCCAGCCGATTGGCCATCAATAAACAATCTGACTCTAGAATGTTCCGGCTGAAGCAAATCGCTGATTTAGCCAAGTTAACCTTCTAGCCGATTAGAGCCTTATACTCATGCAAAACACACAGCAAAGCATCACAATCCTGCATCGTCCCTCGAGAACAGATGTGAGTCATCAGCAAAGAAGAGATGGGAAACTGTAGGAGCCCGAGGGCTAACCTTCACCCCGCCCAACCGTCCTTCCAGAGAAGAGCCGCAAATCCTTCTGTGAAAAGACGATGAGAGACATTCTTGTATCCAACGAACCCACTCTGGGCAAAACCTCATTTTTTCCAAGACACCAATAAGAAAGGCCACTCCACCCTATCATAGGCCTTTTTCATCAGCTCATGGCCAATAAGAACATTATCCACTATCATCCAATCCCTAAAGTATGCATTTTGTCCGATCGAAACAATACCCGGTAAGTGTACGGCTAGTCGCTCTGCCATGATTTTCGTGATAATTTTATACACGAAATGGCATAAGCTCATCGGCTGTAACTGCCTGATATTCTCCACCTTATCCACTTTTGGGATTAAAGTAAGCCGTGTGTGACTAAAACTTCGTAAAATGCACCCATTTCGAACAAAAGATCACACAGCCTCAATCACTTACGGACCCACAATATCCCAAAATGCACGATAAAATTTCCCAGTGAAGCCATCCGAACCTAGTGCATGTTTCGCACCCATCGAAAAACTGTATTATGGATCTCCTCAGGTAAGACTTCTGCTGCCAACACAACCTTCATTTCCGGCAAGACATTCCTCTCAATTGGTAACTCGACGACTCGGCTCGCCATATCCTCCACTATCGATTCCGACGTGAACAAATGAGCGTAAAACCCAGTAGCCAGATCCGCTTTATCCTTCTCCTCCGAAACCCACTCCCCACTGGGCGTTTGCAACTTCTCTACAAAGTTCCGGCGATGCCAAGCTCTAGTCACCGAATGGAAATAAGAACTATTACAATCTCCTTCTTTCAGCTATCGCACTCAAGACTTATGTTGGCAAACACATCCTCCGCCTCCCATTGTTTGGTCAGCTCGGTCTTGAGGCTACGGATACGATCCCAATCAAAGGCGATGTTTGCTTAAGACACTCTATCTCCGTTTGAAGAGTTCGAATTAATCTGGCCGAATTGGTGGTTCAGGCTCTGCTCCAATCGTAATGTCGTAGTAGTTTCAATCTTTGCCATAGTTGGTACACCGGATATCCTTGAATCTCTTGGTTCCAAACATATTGAACAAATAATCAAACCTCCGGATTATCTCTCACTGAGCATCAAAATGAAAAAGAGGGCGACAATTCCTCTTGAAAGGTATGTCGGCTACAATAAGCGCTCTATGATCCGACCCTTGATCGGTACAATGTTTCACCATGGAGTCAGGGAAACTATCAATCCACCTCACAGAACCCAAGCACGATCCAATCGTTCCATGACATATGCATCACCCATTCGCTTATTTGTCCAAGTAAACGGATTACCTGAAAATCCCAAGTCTTGCAAACCCAAGACATCAATAAAATTTCGAAAATACTTCGATTGAGTGGGAGTCCAAGCATTGCCGCCCGACTTTTCATGCGATGACAATATTGAATTAAAGTCGCCAATGACCATATAAGGTACCCTCATACTCGAGCAAAAAAGACGAAGTTCTTCCAATTGCATACGATGGACATTAGCGATGCTACTAACATATACGCACACGACAACATACTGAGAATCATTATTATTAAGAGAAACTGACACAAAAAAAGATGAACTACAAATAATCGAAACATCTACATCGAGGGACCAACCTACTACTAATCCACCTGCCAAATTAATAGCATCAATGAAAAAACAAGACTCAGAATTAAAACCTAAACGTCTCATACAACGTGCTACGACTCGACGACGAGACTGGGTTTCTTATAGGAAAACTAGATCTGGATTATTAGACCTAACAAAACCTAACAAAGACTAAAATGTGAGAGTAGTCCCGATACCCCTCACCATTCCACGACAAAAGCCTCATTTGGACGACTGGGCCATTTTAGGTTGGCTACCTCCACCTCTTCATTTGCATCAAGTGTCTCTTCAACCACACATGCCTTCTTAGTCAGC